CTGTGCTCCCCCCCAACCCCTGGGTCAGCTGAAGGCCGAGGTGGCCTGGGACAAAGCCCCTCCTCTGGGCAGCTCCTCTGGAACTTGCAGGGTCCCTGCTTGCTTCCCCTTCGCTAAGGAGAGGCCTGGGCCCAGCCCCACACAGGGGCCTCAGCCCGACCGGCCAAGCTCAGCTCTCCTCACTGGCTGCCATCCTTCCTGAGGCAAGAAGTAACCTAAGGGGTTTAGTAAGAGCAAAACCATAAGACTCTTCCCTGGCAGGACCGCCAGGTATAGAAAGGACCCACATGTAGACTCATTTTTTTTTAAAACTTGGCTGTGGAAAAGGGCAACGCTTTTTGATGATGATACCATTTTGCAGAGGATTGGCCCTGCACAAGGAAAAAACAGAGTACTGATTCCCAGAGAGCTCCTGCCATTGTGTTAATTATCTGTTCCAGCGCAGGGTGGGAAGGGCAGGGGAAACATCTGGACAAGGCCTGACTAGTCATTTCGCGTAGGCAAGAGCGTCACAGCACCACGGAAGCAGCAATAACAGGCAGAGCGGGCAGCCCCCTTTGGAGGAAAGGACAGCCCTTGTGGCCGCCCGGGGCCAAGGATCTGCTGAGCTATGCCTATCCCTGGCTGGCTACAGGGAGAGCAGTACAGGGCAGAGCCAGGGCTCCCACCCAGGGCCAGAGCCTGAGGGAAGAGGAAGTTGCTGTGCCAACCAGGAGCCTCCCAGTCTGATGGAGGAGTCACTTCCTCTCCTCCCCTCTCCCCCAGCCACTGCTGCTCAAGCAATCCTCAATAAAAACCACCCCAGAACTAAGGGAGTTGGAGTCTCCTGCACCCTAATGACTGGCTTTTAAATATGGCCACACCCTTCCCCACAGGAACACTCCGGGCCAAAGCAGACTCCCCCAGCAGCCCCACAGGTCTGGGGCTGGAGCTGGAGCTGAACTTTAGGGTTGGGCCCAGGACCCTTGCGGCCTCAGCTGCTTCCTGGGGAGCGGTCACATCTGGAAACCAGTGGCGAGAGGGTCACGTGCATAGGAAGGTGCAGGCCGTGTGGAGGCTGAGAGATGAATGGAAGCCCTCAAAAACCATTCCAACCTTGGGCCAGCAGGCTGCATTTTCCTTCAGGTGCCTCCCCCAGTGACCCCAAACCCACCACCTTTGAGGGGATCTCAGGCCGCCGTGATCAGTCAGGCGGAAGACAACTATCTCAAACTGCAGTGGTCCTGGGCAGCTACAGGCCTCCCGGAAGCCCTCCATAAAATCAATGGCCCCTGACAGGGCCGACAAAATCTCAGGGTGCTGCAGTTAGCAGCCTGCCCAGCGGTTTTACTCTTTAGGAGGAAAAAAAGACGAACTGGTCCCAAACCAAATTAAGCCCAGACTCAGGCTCCACAAGGGGCCAGGCTCTACCCATCAATCTGATGGGCCCAGGATGGGGGTTCTTTAGGGCAGGGACTCTTTTACTTCATACATAACACCCCCTCCACACACAGTACCCACCAAGGGTACTAGAGCTAAAAACCAGAAAGGAAATAGTGAAGAAGCATCTTAGGATTTTCAGATCCATGATGATCCATGAATGGCTTCACTGAGGGGAAAAGGTCATAATCAGTTTCCTCCTGTATCATGTTAAATTATGTTTTGAGAACTTCCTCTTCAGTTCTTTGAAAGCCTCTGGTGAAATCCTGACCTCAAAGAGCACCCCTTGACAAAGGAGCATCATGGAACACTGAGGTGTCCCATACCATCCACCCCACCAAGGTCCTCAGAGAAACGACAACCTCCGCTCTTTGAAGGCTTACTCTAGGTCTAGAACTATACTAAGGCCTTTTCAGACATGGTCTTATTTAATCTTATCATTCCATAATTATAACTGTGACCTTTGTAGAAATGAGGAAACAGGTTAAGTAACTTGCCTGCTAATAAGTCACAGAACTGGGAATGAAAGCCATCTTCATGTTCTGAAACACGGACGGTCTTGCCTTCTGGAGAGGGCAGGGGCAGCTGCAGTCCAGGCTGCTGGGGAGGCCTGCAAGCTGACCCAAGTCTGGATTGAGCACTGCCGAGCCCAAGTCCAGCCCTAATTTCTCAAACCTCTAGCAGCAAAAAGAATGGAGGCCTGCAAAGGGCCAGCCTATTTTGTCAGGAGCTCTCCTACTCCTATACGTACTTTGCCACCCATGTTCCTGGGGCTTTCCCAAACCCAGGCTCTAAGCTCTGTATTGTCTCCCCCATCACATGAGAGGCTGTTCAAGGGCAGGGACATCTTCCAGACCAGAGCTACCAGACACTGTTATCAAAACCTCCCTCCACTATCACTGCTGTTCACTCACCAGCAGCCATGCCTAGGTGCTTTAACTGCATTCTCATTTCAGGCCTTACTTCAGTCTTGTAACACTAGCCCCACTGGACAGATGAGAAAACTGAGGCACCAAGCGTTTACTTGACTCACCACAAGGTGGGAAGTTTGAAACCGGAATCTATTTCTTGTAGCTCCACAGCCCCCTCCCCATAACCATGAGGCTGCCTTTGCCAGTCAGGTTCTATCTTGGCAACACAGGGCTGCCATTTGTCTTCCCTGAAACCACCACAGCTGGCTCCTGGCATTAGAGTGGATACTGTTCTTTTCCATCATTACCCAAAGCTGAGGAGGGTACACCCTGGTCCTCTCCATCTTGCTCTCTCTCCACTGGGGAATGTGCGACTCACTATCTCAGTAGCTCATGCCGGGATGCTCCCAGGAAATGTCACCAGAAATGGCCATTAAAATCAGAGGCTGGATGGGGCGCCTGGGTGGCTCAGTGGGTTAAGCCTCTGCCTTCTGTTCAGGTCATGATCTCAAGGTCCTGGGATAGCCTGCTTCCACCACCCCCCCCCCCACCTTCCTCCCCACTGCCTGCCTCTCTGCCTACTTGTGATCTCTCTCTCTATCAAATAAACAAATAAAATTAAAAAAAAAAAATCAGAGGCTGGAGGTGGGGACCCGAGTGGGAGCAGCAGCCCTCACCATCCGTCAGTTGGTACGCTGTTAGGTCCAGTGTACTGGAAGATCAGGCATATTTCACAGACTTTGCCTCTGCCCACCAGGAGTGCCCCTCTCTTCTCCTGCCCCCTCCACGTTCTATAAATAACCCAGGTCAACAAACCAGAGGAAAGCAGGGGGTAGGTTTGGAAAGATCCTGGTGGGAATGATGACTTCTATAAAGTAAATTAATCTTGATCTGAATGGGGTGGCAAGTCAAATTCTCAAAGAGGGACAGTCCTTGCCTGAAAACAGGCCCACCTGGGCTTACAAACAGTTCAGCTAAGGAAGATTCAAAGGCCAGAAGAAAGCAAGGGCAGAACCTGAAAAAAATCAAAGCTCCCCTGATCCTAAGGCACTGACTTCACAGAGGCCTTTCCCCACAAGCCCAGAGACTTTCTGTCTTTCCCCTCCCCCAGCCACCAGCAGTGTCATCCACCAGTCTGGTCGTGAGCCTAGTGGTGGAGACTGAAGGACTATGAAAGAAAGGGATGGAATGGATTTGGGGACAGGAGCCGCTTGGGGAAAAGAAAGGGCTAAGAGACCCAGAGGAGAGCTTTCTGCCCCACCCCCACCCCTTGGCCTCCCTCAGGCAGAAAGGGGCAGAAAGGAAGGAGAGGACAGAAAAGGGGAGGAAAAAAAACAAAACAAGGGCCAAACTATACCACATGATTCCACAACCAAACAGCAAGTCAGGAGGGAAGGAGAGGAGAAGGCCAGGGGTGGGGGAGATGGAGCCAGGTCACAGCCCTGCCTGGAACCTGCCCCATGCTAGCCAGCTTCCCACTCCAGCCCGCAGAGCCACCAAGGCCCTTTCCTACATACACAGGTTTTGAAAAATGTTCAAGGTCAGATCCTTTCTAACCAAATCCTGCTCTCACATGGGTCTGCACCAGGCTCATCCCTCTCTAATAAGCCTTTCTAGATTTACTCAGATGCCATTCCACATGGGCAAACCTTTTCAGCACCTGTCCCCACCCATGGCACACCCAGGGCACACCTGCCCATCCCCTTATCATCCCCTTCCAGGGCCCACGGGGTCCAGGGGAGGTATCACCCCAGTTAACCCCTCAAAAGGACCCACAGCAGGTGGTCAGTCCTGGGGACTGGCTTTCAGATCCTGCCCAAGTCCAAACAGGAAATGGGGCTCCAAGTCTGAAGCCTTGATCTTAACACTGGGGAAGGTTAAACAAGGCCAAGACAAATGATTAAAAACCCGCACAGGCCCTTCCAGGTGGAAGAGGCCGGGAGATTATCCCCCGCTGTGCGTTAACCATGCCGCTGCCTTCACCTCAAGCAGGACAGATAAGACACTTGAAAGCCCCCTGAAGGGTTTCCTTCCTTTAATTAGGAGGCTCTCGGGCTTTCTGAACAGGGGACACAGAGGGCCAGGGGTCCAGAGGCGTATGTCTCTAGGTGGCAGAGGGCATCCAAAGAAGCAAAGAAGGCAAGAAGCAGATGCCCTCTGCAATCTCCAGATTTAGTGGGGCATCTCTGGTCAGTGTCGCCCTCAAGTAGAACACTGCACCTTCCTTCCCCCACAAGGCGAGGCAGCGCCTCTCCACTCCCCTGCGGGCCTGGCTTGGGGCAGGCGGCTGCAGTGCCCCTCCCCTTCCAGGAAAGGGAGACAGGCCCGGAGGCCCTAAGAAAGGCCCCCAAATTTTCCTTCTTGAGGTTCCCACAGTCCAAGGGCCTCTGGATCCCACTCCTAACTTTACTTGGCAATCTACTCGTAAGTCTAGCCCACCAGTTATACCTCCCCCTAGGCTTCGCAAGGACACACCAGCAGTCAAGCACAGACCGTCGTCGCAAGGAACGGTACCCAAAATGCAAAAGAGCAACTGGTCGGTTTACGCCCTTGAGCTCGCGGCAAAGGGCGCACCGCCCCGGCCGAGGTTCGGGGGTCCCGCTCCCCCGCCAGCCCCGCCCAGCGAGCTCTCCTTTAACCGTTTCCGCCCTCTCGGCGCCCCTTACTCACTGCGTATGCTGGGCGCGGCCTGCGCCAAAGACCTCGTCCAGCGCCACCGTGGCCTGGCCCAGGAACTTGTCGACGCCGATAAGCGAGCGGTGCATGGTGGTGAGCACCAGCTCGCAGGCGGCGGCGGAGCCCGCCGCCCAGGGAGCCGGGCCCGCATCGGCCTCCTGCGCCCGAAGCAGGCCGTCCAGGGCACCGGGTGGCAGCTCGAAAGAGCACTCCTCGCGCCACTCTGGGCAGCCCGGCGTCTTCTCCACCACCGACGTGCTGTACTTCTCGCGGCCCACCTGGATCACCGTGTACGCGTCGCTGGTGCTGCCCGCTCCTGAGCTCTTGCCCCGCAGCCCGCGGGCCCGCAGCACAGTCACCTGGACGTGCGTGGGTAGCCAGCGGGAGGGCCCCGCGGCGGGCTCGGCGCCCCGCACCAGGGCCATGGCGGAGGCGGCGGACGAGGCCGGCAGAAGCGGCCACAGAGACGGAGACCGCGAGAGGAGCCGGGCAGCGGCGGAGGGCGGTCAGGAGCCGGCTCCGAGCGCCGCCACCGCCGCCGCCGCCGCCACCGGGCCGCCGCAGCTGCTGGCTGGGCTGGGCCGAGCTGGCAGCCGCCTCCCCGCCTCCCCGGCCGCCGGCCGCGCCGCGACGTCAGCGCCCCGCCTCCCGCCCCGCCCCGCCCCGCGACCCAGACCCGCGAGGCGGTGCGGCAGTGCGGTGGGGGCCTGGCTCTCGCGCCCCCGCACTGCCTCCGCACGCCCGCCTGCAGCTGGAGAGGACAACTGGGACCAAGGGGTGCGGCCTCCGCAGAGGAGTGGGCGGGGCTCCCGCATTGGCCCCGCCCCGGGCTGGGGGCGCCCGCGGAACCCCGCCTAGCTTGCGGGAGCTCGGCATCCTCTGTCGGGTATGAAAATCCCGCTCCGCGTCTCCTGGCCAATCCCAAATCTTTCTCTGAGCTGTCCCCGCTCCGAAAGTCCTGCCCTAAAACTGCCCCGGCCCGCCCCTCCAGGGATGGCCATCCCGTTGGCGCGGGCAAGTGGGTGTGGGGCGGGACCCCGCGGCCCCCCTCATCCCAAGCCGCGCTCCCCATCCTCCAGCCCGCCCCTGCCCGGGAAGATGCTGCGTGAAACCAGAACTGAGTCCCGCTCCGGCACGTGACAGTCCCGCATCAGCGAGCTGGAAGCCGGTGAGCTGCTGCCGCTTCCAACCTCCTTCAGGGTCCCACTGCTGCTGCGAGACCGCGCCGCGGGGGGCGGGAGGGCTGGGCTTGCCCTCAGCGGACACTGCAGTGGAGAGCCGACTGATGAATAAATCAGTAACCACATCAATATTTAAGCTGGGCTCCTGCGTCACCGGTTGGGAAAATTACAGGCTCAGGAGAGGGTTTGAAACAATTACTTCCACGCATTAAGTGCCTACTATGTGCCTGTGTGCAAAGCACAGGGTCTTATTCGAACGCTTGGCTTATTATTAATAATGATAGCAATGGTTAGTAATTACAGATGCTGAATTTCGGCCAGTGCTGGTCCATGTACTTTATATACATTACCTCATTTTATCCTCAGAGCAACCCTCTGGGTGAGTGTGGTTTTTATTCCTGTTTTCCAAAAGATTAAATTGCAGTTTAGAGAAGCTAAACTGCCCGAGATCCGTAATTGGCCAAGGTGGAATGTGAATCCACACGGATGACCACTGTACTTTTAAAATTATAATTTTTTAAATAAGATATAACACATATAGCTAAAAAAAAATATCAAATAGGACAGAAGCTCTTATGATGAAAAACAAAAGTCTCCCTCTCACCCCTGGATCCAAAGAAAATCCACATTGGGCCAGTGGTGTTTTCAAGACTGGTGGTACCTCCATCTCTCTCCCTAAAATGCTTACATAGATGGATTTAGCCAGAGGACCATTATCTATTGCCTTTTGGCTATGATAGATGGTATGTCTCACACCCACTTCCCTCCCCCAGTCTTGTGTGGTTATCCGATTATTTTTAGTCCCTCTGTTGGATACCTTTATGGTGGAAACTGCGTTTCTTCTTGGGAAGACTCTCTGGGATCCTCCCTTGACTTCCCTTGCAGTGAGAGGAGGAAAAATCCCAACTCTGCCGGCCACATTCTCCAGCAGAATATGGATGGGGGGAACCAGTACAGCAGTCACTGGGGATCCATGGAAATGCACCCACCACAGGTCCAATCCTAACAGCCTGCCTCCTTGCCCCTGCTTCCTGAAAACTGGGGCAGATGGAGGGGTCCTGGGCACTGAGCCCCACCGTCCAGCAGGCCTGTGCCCAGCACCTATCTTTGAGACAGCCAGGTCTGCCTATGGACCTTGGCTGTCCGCCACTTAGCAGCAATAAGATCTGAAAATTAAACCAGCTCTCTAACGTCTACCAGCCTCATTTCCTCATCTAGAAAATGGAGATAATGATGCCTACTTGAAGCAGTTGCTGAAAAGATTGTGAGAGAATATTGCCAAAGATTTTAATGCAGTGGAGACCACTGCAATGATCTCAAGGCATCTGAACATACACAGCTTTTCTTTTGATTATAAAAGTGGCTTGGAAAATGCCAAAAAATATAAAGGAAAAACAAATAGATCATAACCTCGCCATCCAGAAATAAACACGGTTAGCAATTTGTTGTGTTTCTATCGAATCTTTTCCCTACACTCTGCTGTTGATTTGTATGCATTAGGGTTGTGAGGCAACTGTAATGTATCTTTGGAGTGGGTTTGGGGGTCCTGGTTCTACCGTTTACATGTATTATCTGATTTACCCCTAAAGACAACCATTTAAGGCAAGTGCTTTTGCTACCCTCATTTTCACTGATGAAGAAACTAAAGCAGAGAGAGCTTGGGTACTTTTTTCTAAGTTTCTAACCGGAAAATTGCAGAGAATGGACTTGAACTCAAGTCTGAGTGACTACTGCCTGTGGCACTCAGCTGTCACACCAGCTTGTTGATAGGCAGTACATCATCTGGGGTTGATAAAACAGGAAATGTCATACCCACTTCACAGATAAAGAAATTGAGGTATGAAAAGTGTTAATAGACTTAACCAGGATAGCACTCAGGATGAAACCCCAGCTTTAAAAAGAATGGATTCCCCAAGGGCTTTACAAATGAAAACATCTTTTCCATACTGCAACTAACATATATTAGTCACCCTTCTTTAATGGTTCCATTTCTCCTGTTTCCGTGTTTTTCTCTAACACGCCTACGCGGCTATCACCTCCCCCCTCCCTCCTCCGCCCCCATGGAGTAGCAAAGTTGCAGGAAAGGGCGAAAGAGAACTCAGATGGGCTACTCCCGCTCTGCTTCCTCCTGCCCTGGCTCACCCAGTTTGGCAAGCTCAGGCTTCCTGCTGGCCTGGGATTGGAGCCATAGGAGGCCAGTGAAGACGGGCAGGGCTCCCCTGCAGGTCGCTTGGCCCTAAGAGGAAGGGGTGGGGTCTTTTAACTCTCTGTGACTGAGAAAAGAGAAGAAACTGTGAAGACTACTGAAATCTTGACCACCCAGAGGTGTTTGTTTCCTCCTCAAAAAAATGAGACTGCCAACACACCCTCTGGCTTCCCCTGCCTCCCTAGGGTGGGGTGTGCTCATGCTCTCTAGTCCATTAGGGATAGTTCTTCCTATAAAAAAGTGCTCCTTTGTGTAATTTCCACTTGTTGCTTCTCTCCACAATAATATAAAAACTGATTTGCCCTTCCACATAGGTTCTTCAAGTATCTTTGCCTGGCTCTTCAGGCTACATTTTCTCCTGTTCTTTATCTCCCCTTTCCAGCATCTGTTTTCTAGGCCCCTCACCATAACAGAGTCACACAACCCAAGTTCAGATTCTAATGCCACCACTCCCCAGCATTATAACCTTAGGAAAATCACTAAACCCTGCTGAGTCTCAGTTTCCACAACTATAAAATAAGAGACGTCGGGGCGCCTAGGTGGCTCAGTGGGTTAAAGCCTCTGCCTTCGGCTCAGGTCATGATCCCAGGGTCCTGGGATCGAGCCCCGCATCGGCTCTCTGCTCCGTGGAGAGCCTGCTTCCTCCTCTCTCTCTGCCTGCCTCTCTGCCTACTTGTGATCTCTGTCAAATAAATAAATAAAATCTTTATTAAAAAAATAAGAGAAGTCGGCTCATAGGGTTAATATGAGAGGTATCTCAACACACACTAAGCAGTAAGGAGTATTATCAACTTAGAAATCTTGGCTGAAAGCAAAAGCTTGTATATCCTTCTTTCTTTTGGATTCCTCTGATTGCCAATGAGATTGAACATTTTTTCAGTTATTAGTCATTTATATTTCTTTTTACTGAATTGTCTATTCTCTGAATTATCTATTTTCCATGCTCATTTTTCTTTGAATTCTTAATTTCCTATTAATTTATATTAACTTTTTCTATGTTAAGACTAACACTTTGTCTTGGGCGCCTGGGTCCCTCAGTCAATGAAGTGTCTGCTTTCGGTTCAGTCATGGTCTTGGGGTCCTGGGATCAAGCCCTGCATTGTCAGGTTCCCTGCTCTCCCTCTGCCTCTGCCCCTCCCTCCCCACTTCATGCCCGCTCTCTCTCAAATAAATAATTATCTTTAAAAAAAAAAAAAAAGACACTTTGTCTCTTACATTTTTTGCAAATAAGTTTGACAAAATAAGTTATGTGGTCAAATCTCAAATTTCCTCTATTATTTCAAATAAGTTCTTCCACACTCATAGGTCCAATAATATCCACTCATATTTTCTCTAGCTTTTAAGTTGTTTGGCTTTTTCTTTGTTTTTCATTATCTTTAAATTTTTCTACATGCTATTTTAATGATTTGAAAACCTAATCCTCTCTCCCTCAACAGCAGTCCATGCTTCCCAATACTTATTATAAAACACTATCCTTTGCCATTAGTTTTCTCATATACATTCTTATATATACTATAGGCAGAGTCTGAACTTTGTATTCTATTCCAAGATTTCTGTCTTGCTGCCAGTGCCATTCTAATTGCCATTGCCTTTTTAATGCATTGTTACAATAGAAGAGCAAATCTTCACTCCCTTCTTTATTTCAAAGATTTTATTGTTACTCTCACCTGTGTATTCTTCCACCTAAGGATCTAATGCTTTTGGGAATTGTAAGAGAAACTTCTATGAGAAAAATTGGCATCATTATAAACAACAGCCATTTGAAATCATGGTATACTCCCTAAAATGTGGAATAAGACAAAGATGTCCTCTCTCCACTTCTATTCAACATTATGCTAGAGGTTGTAGCAAGGGCAATTAGGCAAGAAAAATAAATAAAAGCTATCCAGATTGGAAAGAAAGGATAAAACTATTTCTATTTGCAGATTATCTTATAAATATAAAATACTAAGGACTCCACTAAGAAACTATTAGAACTAATAAATGGGTTCAGCAAGGTTACAGGATAGAGGGTGAAAATACTAAAATCAATTGTATTTCTACATAATAGCCATAAGCAATTGAAAATAAACTAAGAAAACAATTTCGGGGGTGCCTGGGTGGCATAGTTAGTTAAGCCTCCGACTCTTGGTTTTAGCTCAGGTAGTGATGTCAGGGTCCTGGGACTGAGCCCTGCATTGTGCTCCACACCCTACATGGAGTCTGCTTGGGATTCTCTCTTCCCTACCCACCCCCTGCCTCATACTCTCTCTCTCTCAATCTTTAAAAAAAAAAATCCATTTATAACAGCATCAAAAAATAAAATTCTAAAAAATGAATTT